CACATACACTTTAATAGGTTTAAAATAAGAGCTTTACACTAGAATTAAATCCACCAAAAAACTTTCCTAATAATGTTTATTTGTCACAAGCATGTTTTCCTCTAGTTGTAATTAACAGTTCATGCACAAACAGAAATGTTCAATCTTCTAGGCTTTTATTATCTCATCTTACATTTTTTTAGCAGTCCTCTGTAATTTTCTCCTATCATCTCTACAACTCACATTTTATTAAGGAGAAGCTTTCTTTAAGGAAAGAATAAAAGAAATTAATATTAATATGCATGCTCTGTAAAATTTACACATTTCAGATTCACAGCTCTTCACAGAATCAGTGATATTAGCAGAGAACACAAACTGCGCTAACAGTACTTCTTGTGCCAGCCTACATCTTACAGTAGACTTTATATAGCTATTTTTCAATGTGTGTATGTAGAAATCAGAATGCTCCTTCTATTACTTTGCTAAGAAAGCACATTTATGCAATCATGCCACACAAAATGGAAGGGGGGGAGGAAATCGCAGAGAGCTTTCAAATTTATCATACTTGGTAACTCCACAAAAGAAGAGAGAACAATTTTAGCAATAAAGCAATGTGCAACTTCAAAGAAAGCACTAGTACGAGACCACCACTGGATGTCAGTATTGTTCCACAGCAGAACCACTCTATCTTCTATGTTAGCTATTTTAAAAACTCAGTTCTCTTACTAGGGTTTCAAAATGTTCCGCTGATTTTCAGCTGTATAAAGGATTTGCACTGCAATGTTACAAACGTTATTGAAGGGCTATCATTAAAACTGTTTAAAAAAAAAAAACAAAACCAACCAACCAAGAAAGCCCTCACATTTTAAAACATTATTGTGATAAACATGAAAATCAGATTTTTAAGAAGGTTTCTTCACACCCTATAAACTGCATAACAATACTGGGAAGGCAACTGATATTGTTCACCCTAACAATAAATTCTAAGATTAAAGAATAATGTAATATTATACAGACTACCAGACAAAATAAAATATGGATGGATCTTAAGGGTGAAAAAGAATAGAGAAGATTTTAGATAGATTCAAGAGTCCTGCCAAAATTAGGGCCAACTGTTCCTTTATCCACAATGCAACTGTCTGTAAGGAATGATAAATGTAGATTCAGTGACATTCTTGGCAATTTTACTATTACTATTCTCACACCCAGAAAAGTGATATTTTTAACATCCAACCTCACTGCATTGCCTCCTCTTGCCTCATGTTTTCTGCACATCCATGGAGAAGAGACCATGCCTTTCCTTTTTGAAATCACATTTAAAGACTTAATTCCTACATCTTGAATGTCTTGCTCTGTATCTTGTTCATATGGCGTATCTTCCTCTCTATCTTGTACTTAATACCAATGATTATTGCTATCCAAATGTATTCTTGCTCTCCTATCACTTTTCCATCTTTCTAAGAACACTTTGAACTCTGACCCTGAGCACTCACAACTTTGCATTTCCAAGGAGTTTTGTCTTGTGTTTCCCCTGGGTACTTCACGCTCCATCACCCAGGTGTTTAATGACAGCATCAAATAAAATTTGACCTAGAAGATGCCTCACACAGCCTCAGATTTTGACAGTGAACCATCCATATTCATTCTTTCTAGTGCAGTCAAACCAGTTTCATAAATGCTCATATGAACTTAACCTAAATTTTTTCAGTATTTCAACCCCTAAATATGCAAACCCAAAATGTTAAAGTAAGAAAATGCACTGTATTGTATTGCTATCCAAAACTCACTATGTTTTATGTGGAATTATCATAGAACACCAGGTTAGAAGGGACCTTAAGTACCATCTGGTCCAACTTTTCTCGGCAAGGCATGACCTAGACTAGCTGTCCCAGTACCATGTCCAGCTGAATCTTGTGTCCAAAACTGGGGAGTCCACTACTTCCCTGAGAAGATTATTCCAATAAATCATATAGAATGGTTTGGGTTGGAAAGGACCTTACGATCATCCAGTTCCAACACCTCTGCTATGGGCAGGGACACCTTCCACTAGACCAGGGTGCTCAAAGCCCCTTCCAACCCGGCATTGAACACCACCAGGGATGGGGCAGCCATAACTTCTGTGGGCAACCTGTGCCATTGTCTCACCACCCCCACAGTAAAGAACTTCTTCCTAATATCTAGTCTAAATCCCCCCTCTTTCAGATTAAAGCCATTCCCCCTTGCCCTATCACTACATGCCCTTGTAACAAATGCCTCTTAAGCTTTCTTGCAGACCCCCTTTAGGGCTGACTCTTCTCATTGCAAAAAATTAGCCTCTAGTGTCCAATTGGAATCTGACCAGGAGTAACTTGCAACCATTACCACTCCCCCCCCCCTTTCTTTTCCATGTCTCCTTGTAAAAGGAAGTCTCCATCTTCTTTGTAGCTATCCTTTAAATATTGGGATGTTATGCTAGCAAAAACCTATTTGCACCATTCAGAAAACACATTGAGAATTACAGAATTTTGGCTGTAACTAGTTACGCATCTAGATGGACATGAAGGTACTTTACCTTTAAAGCGTTACTGACATTCCTACAACTGGTGCACAGCCACTACAGCACCTCAGTTACCTGTGCAGCTAAACTTGCATCCCAGATACCTACACTTTCACTGCTGGGGATACACCGCTTCCTTAAAAGCAACCTCCAACCCAGGTCAAGCTGAAACCCCAGAAAGGGATTCATAAACTGTGAATTCCCAAGCTCATATTCTCACATGTTTAGCTGATAAAATCTAAGGCCTAAGACTCTCTGAGAGGCCTATGACACTTGACTTTCATTAGAAACACCAGCTAAAGAAAGCCAATGTATTTTAGAACAAACAGAAACGGCAGGGTTGTACTTTACAAACAAAAGCAAAAACAGAATGGCTGTCATTAGTGCCCCTCCTTCCTTTTTTAAATGCAGGGAAGTTAATTATCTAGCAGTAAAATTTATTTTGTCAGTGAAATCATGAAAGCACAGTAAACAGTCAAGGGGAAGAAAAATATAAATGTGGTGCTTTCAACAAAACTTTACCTTCTTCCTAGGTTACTTCTACCTGAAACTTTCAGTAGGAATGGGATAAAGACCAGTAACTTAGCAAAATTTCAGTCCTAAGCATATACAACACTAAACACTACAAAAATTATTTTATTGTGTAATTAATACTATTTCAGCATCTGATAGTGAGGCCCAACATAAACACCCACTGTGCTTCTCCTTCAGGACCTCCTACTCTGCACTCAGCCCACCCCACCTCGCTGCAGAGCCAAGTCCTTCCCCCTTCTTCCAACACTGGAGAGGTGAAGGGTCTGGAAGTAACTGCTTTCCCCAATAAGCAGTAGTTTTCCCCTCTCCTGAAATAATACAGGGAAGGAGACCTGCCTCATAGCTGGGTCAGTAGGGTCCTGAGTCAGGATTTGGTGGTGAGAAGGCTTCTGCTAGGGGTTAGAGGGAGAGGGCATCACAGCACTCCCTGTAGTACTCCAAGTGTTTCAAAGTCTGTATTACTGTCATGATTCTCCAGTCACCTTTGCTAACGCAGCTTCTTATCCCTTTTCACAAGACAAGAACTACTTTTATACAAGAGCTTAAGTAACCAGTGATAGTTTTAGAATTATTCTTTAACACGTTTGACATGCAAACAGAAGTATAACTCTATTATTAGGTGAGCCTGACAGTCCATCATTCTCTTTTACACCTCCCTAGACCCACACACCACTCTTTTTTCATTACCGGCACAATGTATTGCTTTTTTCTTCCCCCCCCCCCCTCCAGCCTCCCTGAAATTACTCTGTTCCAAAAATTAAGCATCAAAAGCAAGTTTTCAGCATATTCTTCATCAAGTTCTTACAAAGAGAATATGCATTTTTAGATATTTTAACACTTTTTAGGGAGGTGTTTATAGTAGTACCTCCCATAGTGCGGTATGTAGTGTGACATAGTTTTTTGCAAGTCTGCTTTCTTCTAAAAAATTCCTATTGCTGGAAATGCAATTCTTGGGGCTTCTTTTAACACAAAAAGGTTTGAAACTGTATCATGAGACTGGCAGCATATCTTTCACAAGGATATCACAACAGAAAAATTAAGATAAACTTTGTGCTTGAACCAAACATAAAACTTGTAACACCTTTACAGCCACATTATCCTTCTCCAATAATGCAACCATCAAAAATCTCAGACTCTATGCTCTTTCCTAAATGTAATACATTTCTCTCACCAAGTACTTTATCTAAAATATGTAAATAGTACTAAAAACCAGAATAAACCTCATTTGTTAATCTAAGTTCTCAACAGAAGAAAATAATCACTTGTAAAACCCAGGCCCAGAGTCAGAAATCCTATAAATCAGAGACTGTCTTATCACACAGGTCTCCAAGAGGCTGGTTTCAGGACACCCACTGCTCTTCTCCAAGCAAGAGACTGCGAAAGGCAAAAATGCATGTGGAGAAGCCTCACTTGAATAGACAAGAACCTGCTAAGCAGGGTACTCTCTGAAAGGGCTGTGTATCTGTTGAATTTACTTCCTTATGCTTTCAAAACGCTCAAATTAGATGGCCTTCGCTGAATGTTGTAATGCTCATTTCTCTTCACTGGCATCTGTAAACAAGGTAAGAAATCACTGAAGGACAGGATAAAAACTGCAAATTAAGTTGTCAGATGTACATGTGGCAGGCTTTAATAAATTATATAACTGCACTTTCAGGGTATTGTTTGTGATGTACTTTTAAACTGCATTAGCAGCCATATGCAAATATAAGTACCCGCAAGGCTTATATATCTTCACTTTAAAATAATTCCAAAAGCTAATGATAAATACTTTGACAAGGTGGTTTACATTCAAAAATTATCTTACAAAGTATAAATTTTTAACACGAAAGATGTCAGAATCTGAAGTACTTGTTAGGAAGTACAGAAGGAAATGGATTGAAAGGATGAAAGAAAACAGAATTTTCACCAAATAAAAGACCATCATCACCAGCTGCTTAACATCCATCTATAAGGAAGTTCTGCCCATCTCAGCTATGAGTGTATTTTCTAGTCCTGCATGAACACAGCAGACAGAGAGGGTAACTTTCTCTACTGGAAGTACCCAACCAAGTTCCATGACCCAGCAGTCCCAGGCACAGCAACAGGTTGGGCAAAGAAGAGATTCAGAGCAGCCCTGTGGAGAAGGACTTGGGGGTGCTGGTCGATGAGAAAATGAACATGACTAGGCAGTGTGCGCTTCCAGCCCAGAAAGCCAACCCTATCCTGGGCTGCATCAAAAGGAGCGTGACCAGCAGGTCAAAGGAGGTGATCCTGCCCCTCTACTCTGCTCTTGTGAGACCTCACCTGGAGTATTGTGTGCAGCTGTGGTGTCCTCAACGTCAAAAGGACATGGAACTGTTGGAACAAGTCCAGAGAAGGGCCACAAGGATGATCAGGGGACTGGAGCACCTCCTGTATGAAGACAGGCTGAGAAAGTTGGGGCTGTTCAGCCTGGAGAAGAGAAGGCTGCGTGAAGACCTCAGAGCAGCCTTTCCGCATCTGAAGGGGGCCTATAGGGATGCTGGGAAGGGACTCTTCATTAGGGACTGTAGTGACAGGACAAGGGGTAAGGGGTTAAAACTTAAACAGGGGAAGTTTAGATTCAATATAAGGAGGAAATTCTTTACTGTTAGGGCGGTGAAGCACTGGAATAGGTTGCCCAGGGAGGTTGTGAATGCTCCATCCCTGGCAGTGTTCAAGACCAGGTTGGACGAGGCCTTGGGTGATACGGTTTAGTGTGAAGTGTCCCTGCCCATGGCAGGGGGTTTGGAACTTGATGATCTTAAGGTCCTTTCCAACCCTAACTATCCTATGATTCTATGACCCAGAGGTAATCATCAATCCCATTAAAATGCAGACACAGGGATCACTTATTTCACCACCATGTGTGTGAGACCAGGAGTGTTGGAGTCAAGCAGAGAATAGCTGTGGCCACATACCATCTTTTTATTGTGGAGATAAAAATTCTATATAGCTCTCATTCACCATTTAGATAGTTACACACAGAGAATCTTAGAAAAATGAGTTGCTACCAAGCTCAAGAAAACAGCCCAAAGCTCAGGAAAAATTAGACACTTAAGATACTATAATTTTTTTTTTTTTTTTAACTGTGAGGAATTATCATTTAATGATTAAAAAACCCTATGTTTCTTGACTTTGGAATAAAGTTCCTGGGAAGTCATAAAGCCATTATTACTGATGACTTAGACAAAACAGTAAAGGGGTGCCAAACTTTATATTTAAAAGCCAAAAATGTATGGACATGCTTCAAATGAAAAATTAGGTTAATTATGCTGACCAAACAACAACAAAAAAATTAAAAGAAAGACTGAGCAAAAGTATTCTGAAGGATTAATTTGATAAAAGCTAATAATGAAGACATTTCAAAGCATATGCAAGAAACCTCACAGATGACAAGGCTGATAAAGGACCAAGATTCAAAAGGATTGATAAAGAAAAAGCTGTAATACACAAGCTTTTTTTTACATTTATTTCTAAAAAATTAAATCTCTACAGAGACTGGAAAGTTTCCAAACTTCAGTTATTGCTGAAGTTATTCCCCACATCTAAGCAAGGTTCTCGAGCTGACTGTACAATATAAAAGGTCTTAGAATAAATACAACAATAACAACAAAATCCACTGGGAATAGCGAGTATTTACCCAAGAGTTCTAGAAAAGCCAAAATACAAAACTGCTGACATGCTTTAAATAAACATTTCCTCCAGAAGAATGGAAAACAGTAAAACAACACACAGTATTTTTAAAAGGAACAATTACATGAAATCCTAAGAACTCCCTAGACCCATATGAAAAAAAAAATCGTATGATAGAGATTATAAGAGAGACTAGACTCTGTAGGCTTTTGAGAAACCTGTGAGCTTGCAGGTGAAGATGATACTTTTGGCAGACAGAAAATGTCCCACCCACAGCTATTATAGTTCTCTGAAAGATAAAGAAAAGTGTGTGAAAGAGGAAAGGAGGCGGGGAGTAGAGGGTAGAAATAATGGTGTTGAAATAGTTCTGGTAAAATCCTTCACCAAAGGTTCTTAAAGAAACAGAATTGTTAAGGCAAAAGAAAGAAGAATCTTTTTTCCTCACATATTAAGACACAGTAAGAAGGAATATCAATACAGTGGTTCCTCTTCTAGAAGATTAGTTAACAGCGATTATCCCACTGGTTTGCATTCCATACACCAAACATTAAGACAAAAGCCTGGATAGCAAGGCAACTGGTGATGATTACCCATGGTTCTAGATGACACCAAAAATCACTGCCCTCTGTGACCACAGGATAAGACATCAAGTGAATTTCAGCATAAAAAACACAAACTACTGCTCAAGGAAAACAACTGAGCTTTATCTCATACTTTTGTGAAAAGTATGCAGTCACATGGTTATTTTCTGGACACTAACTCATGGCTCAGTAGTAGTCCAAAATACACAAAGAATACCAAGATCCATTTTCTAAACAATATAAGACACAATATTATAGAACAATGCAAATTAAATCAGACTTACTAAGCAATAGTGCTGCTGTACGTAAGTTTCGGTTAAAAAAACTGAAAATTATGAGTTGTTTAATTTTTAATGTAGACTTCTACCACAGGTCATGCAGTGAAGCACAGAGACAGGTTCCCCAGAGGGGTTGGAGAAGTTCTTGGACTGCTTCAAGATACAGCTAGGCAAAGATACAGCTGACATGATCTAGAGTCCTTTTTGGAGCAAAAGCTTTAATTAAGATGTCTTCCAATCAACCTTTCTGTTATTTCAAGAACTCAGTACAATTTGCAACTGTACCTGAACATTACATTTTAAAATGTAAACATACAGACTTAGTTTTAAATGACCTAAAGTTATGCTTCCTTCAGGTAATGTATTTTACTTGTATTTCCATGTTGGATTTATATACATACATATTTACTTTTACTTCCATGGATTTAAATTCTTAACTGGAACTACAGCACAAATTCAGATGTTGCTGTTGGCCCTTCAGGTGAGTGTTCTATTTGCTTCCTTTCATACCATGGAGCAAAACCTATTTCGCTTCTATAAATTGATTTTGTTATCCTTTAGTAAATACTTAACACATACATTTCACACTTAGGTACAAGAGAAATTTCAGGTCAGTTGCTAATACTGGTGAAAAGAGAGAAAGTTACCAAATCCCAGTTCAGAATACATCTAATACTGTATGCGGTAGGTTTTCCACCTTTTTGAGTATGACCTGCTGCAGTTTGTACTGCTGCATCAGCATAGGTTCAAGATATATGCCTTCAAATGTTAAAATTCTTTTATAATTTAATACCATAATCTACTAAAATTTGTAAGACATGCACTAAACAGTTGATGCATATGTGGCCTCTGTGTAACCAAGCTGACTACATGACAGATTACAGAGCTCAGCTTTATAAAAAGCCAGACAAGAATTAACCGAGACCAGCTCTGAGCATATACAACACAACTAATGAAGTAGTAATTTACTGTACTCAGGACATATTTTCATCAGCTGATGACTTGAGAAGGAGTTGAGAATCAATAACGCCCCCTATGCTGAAACAGATCTGTGAGAAACTATCACATACGTAAATGCAAGCAATTGAATCTTCATGTTACTTATTGATTTGTTGTTCCCCCCAAACAGTCACAACTACAAGTTCTAAGTGTTATATAGCCACTTTTAAGCATGTGAATGCAGTTTTGCAATTGCTATTTAGAGAGTTTCTTTGGCTGGATTTTTTTTTAAGGATGCTTTGCTCAATACCTGGTGGGAATACAGCAATTCATTCCAATCTACCCACGCCACCAATCACCCCAAAGTTAAGATACCACCAAGACTTAGTTGACTAAATGATGTAAGTCTGCAGTTTGATAACAAACAGCGCCCCTAAAACCATCATCTTTGACGGCTCTAATTGGACTTCAGCACTGGAAAACTTGACCAAACACAAGCCCTTCAGCCACAGAAACTATTCTCTTATTCAAGAGAGGCACAAAAGAAAGGATTAAAATTAGGATGTGGAGAAAAACGGCAATAAGGTTACTGAGTAATTAAGAATTACCAGCAGTAACCTGATGACATAAAAATGACAAAAACAACCAACACCTTGATTGGGTGTAAAACAGCATGAATTTTAAGTCATTATCTTGCTGATAAATTTGGGGGTGCAATTTCATAAGCATATATTTTTCAATATGTAGTTCCAGAACCACCTTGGTTATTTCATTTTTAAATCAATTTAGTACTGTTTCTCTATTCCTCCTGCACTAAAGCTGATATTACTGCCTTCTAAATTCATGTCATTTATAACTATGTTTTTCCAGCTTGTGAAATGAAGGTAAATATAGCAATTATAGTGTTTATGTTAAATTATTATTGCAAGGTACAAAGTGAGGCTGTGATGCCTCTGGCATTCCAGTGCAGAGAAAAGCCAAGTCTACCATCAAACAACTAGTTCTCTGCCAAAACAAAAGGAAATATTTAAAAGCTTGAAGCACTAAGCATGGCAGCAAAAAGTATACTGCATTAACCATACCAAAATTCAGACAAAGAAAAAACGGCTCCAACAACAACACAAACATGAGTTAATCACCAATTTTTAACCTCATAAAATAATCACTGAAGTATTTGTTCTTGCTGAAGTCCATAACCAGTTTTTAGATATACTTCCTAATCACCAAAATCAACCTTTTTCTTTCAGTCTTCTGAACCTCAAAACTAATACTGGGAAAGTAACTCAGTTTATCACTAGCACGGGCTAAAAAATTCTGCAAAACCTTGCTATATGCTTTGAGATTTCACCTTACTAGTGACAGCTACAAAGGGAAGGATCTCTGTAGATAGTCTCCTTTCTATCCTGTCTGCTTTTTATTCATTTTGTCTTCTAGTAGTGACATTGTAGGTATAGCCACTATTTGTCAACATTAATTAACCCACGGAGGCGATATGTTTCCTCATTTATCTAAAATAACTAAAGCCGTAAGATAAGCATGCATAGCACTTTTAACAGCAAAAGGGTACACTGCTACTTCTTGTCCTTCCCTATCTTCCTTCTCCCCATGGATCTAAACTGCTCTTACTCTCGAACTGAAGGACTGCATAAAATATGTAAGCTGATTTCATGCAATGATATACAAGAAGGCATATAAGATACCAGGGCTTTATGGCTGAGATATGACAAGACACCTTTCAGATGGGCAGTTCACAATATTCTCAGAGAAAAGAAAAAAATCCACGATACAAAAATACTTCCCTGAAAGTACACACCATTCTCCATGTTACTGCAGTATTATTACACTCTCATATACAGGATTTATGTACTAGACTATAAATCCTATAGTAATTTATCTACTGAACACCCTTTTTCTTTTCAGTACTGGTCACACATTAATCCTACAAGCAAAATAAATTTACTCAAACATACTTTGTAGAGGCAGGTCCAGAAGTAGCTGTAGCAGTCAGATGTACGTTCCTTGACCACACCTTGACCATTACTGTCCTTAAAGTATTATAGACAGCTATGAGAAGAAGAAAGCATGGGTTTTAAATCTTTAAGGGTTTGACTTTGCCAGGCTTCTCATTTTAAACTAAACTACCTCAACTCTTTTAGCCCTTCCCTAAAAGGTCATGTTGTGTTCTAGTTCTCTACTCGGGTCTTCGTCTCTTCCAACGTCCCCACCCACACACCTTTATATCCTGCTGCACCCAGACTTCACACTGACTCCAGCTAATGCCTTGAGAGGCTGGCCAAAGTGAAAGATCAGGTATCTTACAAATACTATGCTTAACTAATGACTGAACAGTTGCTTTCTATACCCCAATTAACAGCATGACACTGCATCATATTCTGAGTGGCGTATAACAAAACAGAGGAAAAAGCTGAAAGTACTTTTCTGCAGAACTGCTTCTTCTGAACCCTGTGATATGCAGGTCACTAGTCCTACCTACACTCGCAAAATAATCTGTGTTAAACCTACTGAAATACATTGCTTTTGTTTCCTTCCATTCCACACCTTTTTTCCAAGTTCATTTTAAATTCTGAAAACTTGCTGAAGCACTTGCAACCCTTTAAGTTAGATATTGTCTCATAC